GATGTTAACTCCTGCTGTCCTGGGTACTACTGGTTTTCTCCAGGACCTGGGAAGCAGGGAAGGAGGTTTCCTCTCTCCTGGGGTACTTGGTGCCGTCTATTCAATGCAGATGTACCCACAACCCCCGTGCTGTGCCCTCTGCGGGGGTCCTGGCCAGAGCTGTGTCCCTCGGCTGTGCTGGGGTAAATCCGTCCCAGGGGGTTTGTTGTTGGGTTGAAGCAGAGGCTGGGCTGGCACTGAGGTCCAGGCTGGGGCTCGGAGGTGACACGTGGCCACAGCAGTGTGGCTGAAGGCTGGCAGCAGGGCTGGGCAGGGGCACAGCTGCCACAGCTCCCAGGCACAAGCAGGGCTGTGGCCAGGAGCCCCAGAGCCCCAGTGTGGGACTCACTGTGGTCCTGAGCTCCACGGGGTCAGAGCAGACAGAGTGGGGTTTGGAGATGGAGGACAGCGATGCCTGGGCAGTGCCTGTTCCCAGGCTCTGTGGTTGGTGGCTTCTGGGCAGAAAAACACCTAATGAAAGAGGAAATGGTTCATTCCCTACTGATTGTCATCTTGAAGTCACCTTTTGTGACAGTACCGTGCCTCTGGGCTCATAGTCTCTCTATCCTGCGCCCTGTACAAGGTGCAGGGAGGACCTGGGGAGCTGTTGGCTTGACGGTGGCATCACGTGGGCAGGACCAGCCGGACCAGCATGTCCCAGCTTGGCCAACAGCGTCCTGCAGGCTGGTGGCAGCTCCGGGCATCACAGGAAGGACCAGCCACACACCTGGAAGGATTGCGGGCTGCAAGGTTTTATTTCCCAGGAAGCCTGGATGGTCCTCGCCTGGGTCACCTCCAGGAGCCTGGGATGGATGGACCAGGGTGCAGTTTTGACTCCTACCTCCAGCTGTGAGACCAAGGGTGCCCAGACACCCCTGCAGAGACCGCAAAGGATATGGGGTGCTGACCTGCTCCTTCTCCTTCTCCTCCTCCACCCTGCTGGGTCGCCCCGGTGATGTCAGGACACCTATGCTTGGGTGGCACTGTCTGGCCAGGATTGCCAGCCCTTGGCATGATGCCTGACCTAGGAAGCTACTTTAGCTCAGCCTGTGATCAGCACTAATCCCCCAGCACACCTCTTCCCAGCCCGGGACATCACCTGGACTTCCCTGCCAGTGTCCTGCCACTTCCCTGCCCAGGCTCTTCTTCCCTATCCCTAACAGGACTCCATGCTCCAACCCCCTGAACTGCCTTGTCACTCTGGTCGAAGACATCACGGGGGCTCAGGAGGGTGAGGAGAGCCTTTGCTTTATGGTAGGGACCAAGAACTGCTGCCCCAAGTTCTCCTGGCCATGGCAACACCTCCTGCAACTGTCCCAAAGGGAAGGGAGCACTGCTCGCCCTCCTGACTGCCCGGTGGCTAGCCGGGACGTGGCTGTGGGATGTGTTTTGTTCTGGAGGCCGTCAGCACAGTGCCTTTTTTCCCCTTGGAAAGAAAAACAGGCTCTTGCAGGTTGTCCGCTGGCCTAGGAAGCCTTTCAGACGGGTGCTAGTGACTATATTGTTCCTGTAGAGTTTGGCTTGTGCAGAGGATGTTTCCCATCCTGCATGGATAATGCTGCCCTTGTGCGGGCGTATCTGGTGTTAAACTTCTCCTTTCTCCCTCCTGCCACCACAGGTCTCCTTGAGCATGGGCGGAACTGGTCGGCCATTGCCAGGATGGTGGGCTCCAAGACTGTGTCGCAGTGCAAAAACTTCTACTTCAACTACAAGAAAAGGCAGAACCTGGACGAGATCCTACAGCAGCACAAACTGAAAATGGTGAGAGCACCATCTCAGCCCGCACTGGGCACCGTAGATACTTCCCAGCAAGTGCTTGTGTGCTTCCCACAGCCAAGGGGAGCCTGTCATCTCGGAGAGCGTACTGGAGTGAAAACTCCAGGGAGTGGGAAGCAGTGCAGGAAAGGGTTGTCCACCCGTCTGGCCCTGGGAGGTCTGGAGGAGGGGGAGCTGCTGCGTGGGAGATGCCTGGGTGTCTGGAGTGTGGCTGGTACGCAGGGAGATAAGAAGGAGCAGAAGGAGGAGCAGGGCTGTGGTGTGTTGGCCAGGACGTGAGCTTGGTCCTGGCTGCACAAATACTTTGATGCCGGTGAGGTTGTGCTGTTCCACGCCGGGGAGTGGAGAGCCCGGCTGGGCACCACAGCTCTGTGCTTTGCAGGTACCACAGTTACCTGGTAAACTGCTGGTTTGCCCCAAAGAAATTCAGGGGTTTAGGAGAACGTGAGGAGAGGCTGGTCTCAACGTGGATGTTGGTTGGCTTCGGGGCTGTGAGCAGATGCACACATCTCTCCATGCCTCAGTTTCCCATCAGAAGGGGCTAACGCTGCTTATTTTCTGGCATGTGGTGCAAGGTCTGAATGAAGAGGGGGTTTGTTTGGTGTTGTGGAGATAGGACAGGCTGCTAAGAGCGACTAAGGATTATAATTATTTCATTTATAGAGTATCCTGGGGTTCCTGGTTTCTGGCTAATAGAATTCACATGGCTAAGCCCCCAAGGGGTGCTTTGAAAATGCAAAGGACAATGTTCAATGCAGGAATCTCTCCAAGCAAGCTATTACAGAAAGAGTAAAAAGAAAGACAGGAAAACATTCAATGACTCACCCAGGAATTTAATATCCCAGTCAGTCTATAGGAATGAGAGAAAGAGAAGACATCGGCGATTCTTTTTTATTAATTCTCTGTGCACAGAGACGCTCCTGTGTTCCCATGTTTCACCAAATTGTTTTTAGAAACAAAGCAAACAAACTATATAAAAGACCCCAAAACTGATAGAAGGACTGGAATGAAATATGCATCCAGGCCTCTAAATATAAGATGTTACATTATAAAGATATCATTGTTCATTACTGGGGAGAATCTGAAATAAGATCATACAGCTTAGCTGGCAGCGGAGCTGGTGTATATTAATTTACTCTGCTTCCTAATGTTTCAGAAATTATATCACGGAAGTGTTTTTCTGCAGAACCACATTTTTTCCTGCATCCATCCCTCCAAGGCAGCCACTAGACTCCTCTAGTCTAATTGTTCACTCTCACTTGCAGTTTATATCAGCATCATCATTTTATTTTTTGAGCATTGGAGGCTACAGGATTCGGTTGTGAAGAAGAACAATGAACGTTCAGCTGTTATTTATTGTGCTCTATTGTTTTGTGGCAACGGCAGATGCCAGAAAGCTGAATAAAATAAAAGAACAACTGAGATTAAATTGCTAGAGACCTTCCTTCCTGGTTCCTAAATATATTCACAACCAAACTGAGCCTCCAAATCTCATCCTATACCAGGGAGTCAGCCGTGACCTCTGCGGAGGAGGCAGCGTGGCATCGCCTAGTTCTGCCATGACATCCCCAAATCATTCCCTGACCTCACCACCAACAGCTATTGCTGATCATGTGCGGGGAAACACAGTGGCTCTGCTTTTCTTCCTCTTGCTTAATGAGAATAAACTTAATTAGCAGATCTTATTTGTTTCCCAAGTGGGACTCGTTAATATTGTAGCCTTGTTGTCCAGGTAGGTGTGACGCGGGTTTTGGCAGCATGCAGGCTGGAGCTGCCGGGACAGGCAGGGAGCAGTGACTGCTGTGGGATGGGAAACAGAGCCTGGCAAGGTCCCTCTGTCCCCAAAAAGTGGCACGGTGCAGTGCAGAGCAGGATGTCCCCATTCTCCATGCTGGGACAGTGCTGGGTGGGATGGGGCTGGGCGTTTCAAGCTACCTCTTGTCCCCTTATGTGCTGACCAGAACCAGGGGAGCTTTGGGGATGGGGGGACCCTCCCTCTGAGCATCCAGGGAGCATCCAGCATTAGGAAGGAGAAGGGTTTGGGTTGCAACAGGCAAAGGTGACTGGCATGGTGATGCTCCTTTTCCACCTCTCCAGAGACCATGTGGCCTGTAAGGTCCTGTGTGCTGTGTTTGGGGTTTTGAAGACCCATCCTTTTACTGGAGAGGTTCTCCCATGGGGAAGGAGCACACAGGGGCTGGAGAGCTGCACATGGGGTGTCTCAGCATGCAGAGCCCCATTTCCCCTCTCCCCTGAACTGCGTGGCACTCACGAGACCCTCCTCCAGCCTGTTCAAGGAGGAGAATCCCACTGCGTCCAACGGGGCTGGATGCTGTAGATCTTCACCTTCCTCCCTCTGCAAAGCCCCCATGGATCGGGGTGTCCCTGCCAGCCGGCTGCGACGTGGGACAGGCAGCCTGTTCCTGCTGGGACAGGGTCAGGCCACCTTGAGGCTTCGCTTTATCTGCCCTGCTGTGTGTTTTGGCTTGGTTTCACTGCCGAGCGGCTCGGATGTGTCCCAGGCATCAGCGTCACTTAGCCTTGACCTTCTGCACACTGCGCTCTCTAATCTCGGTGTTTAAGAAGAGCAGGGCGTTGGGATACATGGTGTCCTCAGAGCTGCTCTTTTTGATAGTAGTTGGAGATTAGGTGCTGTCTTCACCAGGACCTCTTTGCTGTGTGATTGTCACTTTGGTCTAATGACTGCTGGGGCTTGTTTTGGCTTCTGCAGCAAAGATGGGCGAGTTATCTCTTGGGCTGGTGCTGGTCCTGCTTGGAGGACCAATCTTTTGGACCCATCCAAGCAACATTTTTGCAATTCCTCACTTTTTTGGGTGGTGCTCGCTTCACACAACAAAGCTGCTCCATGAGGACAGCCTGGTGGCCTCTTCTTCTGGAGGATGAACAAGTCTACCTTGTCTTAGTGCAGAGCCTTCATCTCAGGCTGGGTTAAAACCACGGCATTAGGACAGGCTGCGGCTGATGCTGATGGGAGGTACCGTGTCAGTAGCAGGGTTTGGAGGTTTGGAAGCTGTTTTGGCTGTTGCTGCCATGTCAGGTGGTGACTGCAAGGAGAGTCCAGGTTTGTCAGGACAGCTGCTCTGCCTGTGAGGCAGAAGGCCAGAGAGATATGAAGCCCAAGGGCTGGTGGCGTCTCTGTCTCCTCCTCCACGACAGACGGTGCAGGTGAACTTGAGCTGTGGGAGGCAGTGCCCAGTGCCTGGGATGGCAGGAGGGGAGGGAGGGGACGAGCTGCCCCTCCCTGCCAGGCTGGGAGTCAGCATGATGGGGCTGGCTGGGACCCAAGTGCCCAGAAGGAACAGGCGTGGAGTGACCCCCCGTGCAACGTCTGATATCCTCACTGCACACAGGACATCTCCTTGGTGGTCTTGGTGAGGCAGAGGGCTCATGTAGCACCAAGCCATGGATGCTCCTGCAAAAATATCTGGTGGTAGGCAGAGAGCAGAGAACTCGTGGGCTGGGATAGCACAAAATGAGCATCGAAGTGCCTGTAGCAAATGGTCCTGGCACCTTCCCGTGGCCTCGCTGGTAATCACTTGGATTAAGAGTACGTTGTGATGGTGGGAGACACCTGGTCCCAGGCACAGCTCACAGAGACTCTTCCGTGTCCACTGCAGCCATGGTTAGGATCCCGTGGCAGACGTGGTGGCCCTGTGGCTGCTTACAGAAGCAGAGCAGAAAGGGACCCCTTTCCTGGGCAGGGTGCCGGGAGCAAGATTGCACGAGGGGGCCAGAGATGTCGATGTTACAAGAGGTGAGGTGGTGGCCTGAACGTATCTGTAGATGTAGCCAGGATCTGCTGCCTGGGTTTCACATCATCTTCCCTGAATACCAGCAGTGGGGTCTACCAGGAGAGGGACCCACAGTGTCCCTGGGGCAGCTCGCTGCTCCGCTCAGCCGCTAGCTCCCGGGCTCTGGCCAAGTGGGGAGCTGAGGCAGAGGCTGATTCCCAGCAAATTCCCCGGCAAGGAGCCCGCTCCTGCCCGCGGCTGAGTCACAGACCCGTGAGTAAGAGGCAGAGAAGTCTTTGCCATAGTAACGTCGGCGCTTTGTCAGTGCCTGAGCGTGATGGGTAACTGCTGCTTCAGACAGAAACGTGCGGTTGCTGAATCGCTGCCGTGGCAGAGGCGCGAACACTGGCAGTGCCGGGGCATCGCCGCCGGGATGGGATGACGCCAGCACCGCAGAGCCCTGCCTTCCTCCCACCGCCTCTCCGCGCCTTCCCAAAGCCCTTTCCCAAGTGCCTTTTTTCCCCTCTCTCCTGCCCAGTTTGATAAAAATAGATTTTGAGCAAGCAGTGTTTCCAAGCAAAAAAGCAGTTGTATTTGTTTGTTTTATCTGGAAGTTTTTTAAAGGATTGAAAAGTTGCAGGGGGGAAAGAGGGGACCAGCTCTTCCCAGCACAGGGATCCAGCAGCAGAGTTAACGTTTCCACCACGGCTTTATCTTTTCATCCATGTAAATAAACGTCCTACACACGTCATTCGTGTGGGGTTTGCAGGGAGAGCCGGAGATGAGGGGCCTGTTCCTACTGGTAATATTTACTCAAGCAGCAAGAGCAGGAAACAATAGCAAAGCCGAGACTTTTCCTTCAGATCAGTGGGAGGGAGCAGCTCTCCGTGCCCTCATGGCTGCAGCATGTGCCCCGGAGAGCGGGGACGGGTCTGTCCCAGAGCAGGACAGGACACCAGGCAGCTCACCATCAGGTTGCTGTGCCGCACGGAGTGTCCCCACCACCCGTTGGTGACAGCCTTCCCAGCACGGGAGTCAAAGTCCTTTGGCAGCACCTGCCGTAGGGGACACGAAAACATTGGCTGGGCCATATCTGGGGCATCAGCTTCGTTATCTGCAGATGAGCGTCAGGCCGTGGCCGCGCAGGTTTGCGTAGCTGGAGGTTAGTCCCTGAGAGCGTGCAGCGCGATCACGTCGCACGCGCGTAATGAGCGGACGCAGGACCACCGGGCTCTTGCCAGCCCTGCGCTGGTGACTTCTGCACGTGTGTCCCTTGTCCACACATCTGTGCTGTCCCTCCCTCGGAGCTCTGCCTGCAGCTGGGTTGGCCATTGCAGGACGGTCAGAGTTTTTTGGCCAGGTGAGACCAGGCTGCCAGGCTTTTGGCAGGCGAGTCCAGTCCTGAGGACTGATTTTGGGGGGGTTTACCTTGGGAATCCGTGGCAGTGTTAGGATCCTTCTTGGCCCTTCAGGCAGGACTGATGCTGTCTGCTCCTATGCAGCTCCCTGTAGACTTTCCTTTTCACCATCCTCTGCCTCTTCCCCAGGAGAAAGAAAGGAACGCCAAGAGGAAGAAGAAAAAAGGCGCCGCTGTTCAAAACGAAGAAGCCGCTTTCCCTCCCGCAGCTGAGGACGAGGAGATGGAGGTGTCGGGGACGAGCGGCAATGAGGAGGAGATGGCTGAGGAGGCAGAAGGTGAGGAGGGTGGGGGACTGTGCTGGGGGGACACACTCAGCTCTCCCCACTTTGCTGTGCAGTCGCAATAGAGGCATCGGGCACGGCCTCTCCGGGGCTGCAAATGTCAGCGGTCAAGGAGGGTCATGTCTGTCACCTTAAAGCCACGCCGAGGTGACAGCATCCAGCAGCACGAGGTGCTGGTGGCATTTTGGATGCCTCTGGATTTCACGCTTCGAGAAGTGCCCTGGATCACTTCCCTCCTCCAGTCTCTGCCTGGATGGATGGTTATTTTTGGGAGCCCTTTGGTTTCCAATTTCCATCAGCACACACTCCCAAGAGCACCCAGCTTACCAGCACCTGGCACGCTTGTTTGCCCTTGTAAACCACATTTCATGGTGTTTTCCTCCAAAGAACAGTCTCTGGGTGCTTGGCAGAGTTAGATACCCACCACGGTGGGCTCTCAAGGAGCTTAGCATGGGCTCAAGGAGGGATAACCCACCAAGGTTTGCATGTGCCCATCCCCATCCCATCAGGGCATCGCTGCTGCTGCTGCTGCCTTGGGCGGTGGAGCTTCCAGAGGCTGATGCTGCCAGCGGAGGCAGGGGAAGCCACAGGCTCCCACCGCCGAGGCTGGTGTACCTTGGCAGGTCTTTTCCTCCTCTTTTCCCTTTTAGGGCAGCATTTTCCTCCCTCCCAGCCTTACCAAAGAAAGGAAACAACTTGAAAGTGACAATTTTTAGCTATTTATTGGTTAGAAAGCACAGCAGCGAGTTTGGAGAAAATGCGCATAATTTTCCAACAATAGCCCCGTTTGACTTTTGTCAAAGTAATTTAATAACTTAACCAGCACTGCTGGCACCACGCTGGTTCCTGGCCCTCACACTCGGGCTAATGGGACTCGAAATGGGAAAATCTTTTCAAATCATCATTGCGAGTGACTCATTACAAGGCAGATTCCAGGTAAATCTTTGTGCGAGGTGATACGTGACTCAGAGGCGCAAAGTAAAAGGTAGTTACTGCTCTTTGTAAGAGTGCCTGGGAGGAAACAGAGTATTTTTGAGATTAGAGATGGATCTCTTGACACGCTCCTGAGCCTTACGCTTCAGTCCTCGTCTCTTGTTCTGCTGCTGGGGTGGGCTATGGAGCTGAAGAGGGTGTAAGCAGAAGGGGAGGAAATGTCACGGGCACAGAATGCTGGCTCTGGGGTGACGTTTGGGGATGCTCAGGCAATAGCTTGGGATCAGGGGGGATGTGTGGCCGACCAGGGAGTAAGAAAGGACATTATGTGGGGGTTATGGTGTAGATTCAGCATCTGGAGGGAATGCGCTGGAGCCTAGAGCTTGACTGAGCCTGGGATGAGCCACTGTTGGATTTCTCAGTGTGGAATTCAGAGTGGCATCATGTGGCAGTTGGGGAGGATTTGGCCAAACATGCTGTAAACCTCATCCCTGGGTGGGGGACAGGGCCCCTCATTGCTTGATTACAAGTGAGGAAAGGTTGGAGAAGGCTGAGATTCCTGACCAGTGTGGTGCGTTTTCCTGCGGAGGAAGGGTGGATGTGCTCTGGTGTTGAGCTCTTGGGACACAGTCCCTCTGTGCCACTCATCTTGCAGGCATTTAAAAGCTGCCTGTGCTGCTATGGAGAGAGCCAAGTCAAGGAACGCATGGCAGGAAGCCTTCAGGCACAAGTATGAGAGCCATGCCTGGTGGGGATATGCTGAGATGGGACCATGAGAGTCTCCTGGTGCTCCTGGCCCTGGATGTGTTTGTCTGGCAAAGGCTTGGAGGGAGCAATCCTCTTTCCAGCTGTAGAAACAATCTCTCGGCAGCACCTTCATCTGCTGTGGTGCATGGACACTTGTGCTTCCAGCTCACGTCAAGCCGTTGGTGGCAGATTTGAGAATGATCCTTCCCATGTAATAATTAATCTGTCCCACAGCACTGCCAGCGCTTTGCTCTCACCGACCCTGACCTCCTTTCTTTTGCCACTGGCGGCTTAAATAACAACAAACAGGCGCAGTGTTTTGGGATGGTCCCCAGCTGCCCTGGGGGTGGCAGAGCCAGGGACACAGGCGACGTTAGTCAGTGAGCAGAGTGCCAGTGAGGTGGAGCAGAGCTCATCGAGAGCCATGGGTGAGAGGACAGAGCAGGTCCTGTCTCATGGATCCAGCCAGCAGCCAGGATTTTCCCTTAAAATCCAGTTTCCCAGTCGCTGGGTCTCCAGGCTTTTGGGTGTGTGGTTTTTTTGTGTTTGGGTGAGGGTTAACAACAGTCATCGTGCTGGGCAAGGAAAGAGGCCCCCAGAGCATCCCTTTGGGGGCTCTGGATCCGGGGATCCCACTGCTGCTCTCACAGCCCCGGGATCATCTCCCCCTCGGAGGAACGAGGGCGTTCTCCTCCCAAGGGAGGGGGCGGAGGCAGCGATATGGGAAGCGAGAATCTCAGGCTGATCCTTATTTTTATTTCTTCTCTTTTCTCAGCTGCAGTAAATAACAGCTCCGATACTGAGAGCATTCCCTCGCCAAGGCCCGAAGCCAAAGAAGGAGGCGAAAACGGGGCCAAGGCACCACCCGGGCCAGGAGGTGACTCCGGCACAGAACCAACAGTCAAGTTGGAAGAGGCTCCAACACCCCCCGACGCTCCCACCGCTCCCCCCACCAACCCCGCTCCTGCCGCCAGCCCTCCGCCGGAGGCAGCTCCCGAGCCGCCCAGCAGTGAGGAGAAGGTGCAGGAGGACCTGGTGGGGGCCGTGGGGAAAACGGAGGAGACGGAGGAGAAGGTGAGCGAAGAGCCCTGTAAGAGTGAGGTGAAGAAGGAGGAGAGCGAAGACAGCCAGGAGAAGGACAAGGGGAATGACAAGAAGGCAGAAAGTGTCGCCAGTGGTGGAGGGACAGCAGGGACGGAGGGGACGCCCAAGGCTGAGAAGAAGGAGAGCCATAAAGGCAGTAAAGGCCCCGGGGTGAACCCCGACAGCGACTCCAGCGCGACCTGCAGCGCAGACGAGATGGACGAGCAGGATGCTGTGGACAAGAGCAGGTAGGAGCAGGGAGAGAGGTGGGCAAGTGCACGGCCCGAGGGCCAGACGAGCATCTCCATTGCGTGCCACCGTGCCCATGTGCACTTTGGTCAGCTCCTGTTTGGGAATATCACTGCTCAGGAGCTCCCCCAGGCAAAGGGACGTGCTCAGCTGTGTCCCCATATGGCCGTGCCCCTTTGGCCATCACTTGCAAAGGGGCCATGACACAACGGGTAGAGCAATGTCCCAACGTACGGGTGCTACTGGGCAATGGCCATGGGCAGGTGTTGGGTGCAAAGCCACTGCATCTGCTGGCGGCAGCCCATCTGGATGACGCAATGGAGCAGGACATGCCCTCAGGGGCAGCAGGGTTGTGCAGAGGTGCAGGCTGGTTTGCCAGCATCTGGGGTTGGGAATGGTTTCTTGTCTGAGTTGGCACTGGCAGGAGAGAAGTCACGTCAGGGACGTGTCCTCAGTGCAGAGAGGGGACAAACTGCTCCCTTGGCAGAGATGTTGCTTGGGTCTGTAGGGGTGAATTATCCACGAAGGGAGGATAATGACGTGGGCTGCGCAAGCTTTCCTGTGACAATGTCACTGGGTCTTCACCTGAGCCACTGTGGTCCCGAGCCCTCCACCCACCCCTGGGGCTGCAGCCAAGGGAGCCTCTGACCCTTCCTGGGTGGCTTTTGCGACAGGGAGGGGAAACACTGGCCTCTTCCTCAGAGAAATGTCCTGTTCCCCTCCTGGCCCTTCCCTCAGCCTTCCCCACCCAAGAGGGTCACAAATGGGGAGAAGGTTTCCTGGTTTTTAAAGAATATATTTGAATACGTGCGTCTTTGTAGCGCTGATTTCTCTAATGGCTCCTGCTTCCATCCACGCTGCCTCCTGGGTCACAAGTGACCTCTGAGTCTGCCCTGCCATCGCATGGAGGGACGGTGGTCCCTCCCCACTCCCTGCTTTGGAGCTGGGCTGGGATGAGAGCCTGGCATCTCACATCCAGCATCCCACATCCCTCCCATGGGCTCGGAGAGGGTAATTTGGCAGTGAGATTGGTGCTGCCAGGCCAGGCGGTCTGTACGCAGTGCTGTGGATGGGGCTATTTGAAAAAACAACCAGTAAAGCAGTGGGATGATGTGGTAGGGAGCCATCATGTGTATCCACCATCCCTAACAGCCCCCACACCTTCATTGTGATGGATGCAGGAGCCAGCGAGTGAGGGCTGCTTGTGCAGGAGCATCCCTGGTGCTGCCCAGCCGCCTTGGGGGAGCAGC